ACACACCCGTGAGCGGGGCAAACCCAGTGTGGCCGGAGCACTGTGAGTGCCCCCACACACAGCGATATCTGTCTGCAGCGTCCCTCCCTCCCTGCAGTGCAACTGAACAAGCGAACCTGAACAAGAGACCACCTCCGCCCGCCTTTGTCAGGGCGGAAATTAGACACTGAAGAGACCTGCAAACAGAAGCCAAATAAACAAAGGGAACCGCTTCAGAAAGGACCGGTGCAACAGATTAAAATCCCTGAAGGTAACACCGACTACACTGGAAGGGGCCTATAGATATCGAGAAGTGTAAGCTGGAACAAGGAGCTACCTGAAACTGAACCGAACCCACACTGACCGCAACAGCTCCAGAGAAATTCCTAGATATATTTTTACTTTTTTTTTAATTAAAAAGTTTTTTTCTTTTCTTTTTTATTTTTTCTCTTTTATTTTCTTATAAAATTCCCTATTACTCCCCACTACTCCTTAACTTTCATTTTCATATATTTTTACTATTTTTTTTAATTAGGAAAAAAATTTTTTTTCCTGTTTTATTTTTTTTCTCTCATTTTTTTTTAAAGTCCTCTATTACTCCTCTATTACTCCTTAATTTTCATTTTCATTTCACTATAACCTTGCAAAAAAGAAAAGGAGCAGCCATATTTTTAAACCGAAATTCATATATATTTCTAAAATTTTTTGTTTTTGTTTTTAATATTGTATTTTTAAGAGTCTAACCTCTACTCTAGATTTTTAATCTTTGTTTTTCAGTATTTGATATCAATTTTGGACATTTAAGAATCCAATATTCAGTACCCATTTTTACTCAGGAGTGTGTTGATTACTCTCTCCCACTTTTGACTCTCCGTTTTCTACCTCATATGACCTCTATTTCCTCCCTTTCCCTTCTCTTCACAGTCCAATTCTGTGAATCTTTGTGGGTGTCTGGGCTACGGAGAACACTCTGGGAACAGACAACTGCGTAGATCTGTCTCTCTCCTCGTGAGTCCCCCTTTTCTCCTCCTGCTCACCTCTATCTCCTTCCTCCCTCTCCTCTTCTTCATGTAACTCTCTGAACCTCTCTGGGTGTCCCTCACGGGGGAGAATCTTTTCACCATTAACATAGAAGTTTTATTATCAGTGTTGTATAGTTGGAGAAGTCTTGAGACTAGTGGAAGAATAAAACTGAAATCCGGAGGCAGGAGACTTAAGCCCAAAACCTGAGAACACCAGAAAACTCCTGACTACACGGAACATTAAGTAATAAGAGACCATCCAAAAGCCTCCATACCTAAAATAAGTGAGGACTGTTTACAATAGCCAGGCCATGGAAGCAACCATCGGCAGATGAATGGATAAGAAAGCTGTGGTACATATACACAATGGAATATTATTCGGCAATTAAAAAGAATGCATTTGAAACAGTTCTAATGAGGTGTATGAAACTGGAGCCTATTATACAGAGCAAAGTAAGTCAGAAAGGAAAACAGCAATACAGTATATTAATGCATACATATGGAATTTAGAAAGATGGTAACAATGACCCTATATGTGAGACAGCAAAAGAGACACAGATGTATAGAACAGACTTTTGGACTCTGTGGTAGAAGGCAAGGGGGCGATGATTTGAGAGAATAGCACTGAAACATATATACTAACAAGTGTGAAACAGATCTCCAGGCCAGGTTCGATGCATGAGACAGGGTGCTCAGGGCTGGTGCACTGGGACGCCCCTGAGGGATGGGATGGGGAGGGAGGTTGGGAGGGGGGTTCAGGATGGGGAACACATGTATACCTGTGGTGGATTCATATCAATGTATGGCAGAAACCACCACAATATTGTAAAGTAATTCGCCTCCAATTAAAATAAAATAAACAAATAAATAAAATAAGTGAGGATCAATGTGATAGGCCTTTATTTTGTACTTGTAATTTCTGCAATAGTCAATAGTCACATCGAGAAGTTTAAGACTCATATTCAGGGGAAAGAATTCTCAGTTTAGCACTTATGAAGACAGTTTTCTGGTTAGAGTAAACCTATTCCAGAACATTGCTAGATACAAAATAACCAACAGCTGCTGTACAGGACATTCTACGGAGTCTTAATTGATAAACTGATGTGCACTTGGATTCAAGTGGGAGGAATAGTCTAATCCTTCTGGTTTCGGGGGTGGAAGAAGAAGTTTTCAACACAGGTGCCCAGTACGGTCTATTTGGTATTCTAGTCAATTATGCCATGGCCCATTCTACAGGTTTCAAGATGTAAAAAACTGCCACAATGCTAGTCAGCAGGGTCGTTAAACGTGTGGGTAATAACAGATTAGGTATCCGTAAATATGTTCAGGAAATAGAGGTTGGTTACCGTATTGTGTATTGACAGTGGTCTGAATGCTCCAGCTGCAGCAGTTTTGTCGGTACCCTTAAATTTTTCTTACATCATTATCAATGCCTTTTATTTTTTAAAAAAATTTATTTATTTATTTATTTATTTATTTATTTATTTATTTATTTATCACAACCATAGTGTATCTTTTTTTTTTTTTTTTTTTACATGTATTCCCCATCCCGGTCCCCCCTCCCACCTCCCTCTCCACCCAATCCCTCTGGGTCTTCCCAGTGCACCAGGCCCGAGCACTTGTCTCATGCACCCAACCTGGGCTGGTGAACTATCAATGCCTTTTAAAAAAATTGTGATAGACTCTTTTGCCAGTAATAGGCAAAAAGCCAAGACTGTTTCATGAAAACTTAAGTACTGGGTTTCTGTTTCTCAAAAAACAAAAGATAATGTTGAAGGTATAACTTAACAAAAATTTAAAATTTCCCATCCAACAATGGGGCCATAATCTCTGAGTTCGTGAAAACTAAAAGTATCTATTTTGAAAGTTAATGTTATTTTCAGACAATTGTTCCCAGAGATCATGATTTAACATGTGCAGCTGCAGAAGTTACATGTCACTCTGTGAAGCATGACTTTCTATTTGGATCAAATGATTTTATGGCTACACTTTGCTCATTTTAAATTCCCAATTTTCTTAGGATTGTATAAAAAGTGAAGTGATAATTATTTGTTAGTTCCACTAACAGAATAACTTTATAAATATTTAAATGATGAGAATCTTATAGTAACAAATAGAAGGGGAAAAAGTTGAAGCAGTGACAGATTTTATTTTTTTAGGCTCTAAGATCACTGCAGTGACTGCAGCTAGAAAATTAAAAATTTTTAATTTTAATTAAAATATGCTCCTTGGAAGGAAAGCTGTGATAAACCTAGACAGTGTATTAAAAAGAAGAGATATCACTTTGCTGACAAAGGACTGTAATGTCAAAGCTATGGTTTTAGATCTGAACACCAAAGAATTGATGCTTTCGAATTGTGGTGCTGGAGAAGAGTCTTGACAATCCCTTAGACAATAAGGAGATCAAAACACTCAATCCTAAAGGAAATCAACCCTGAATAGTCCCTGGAAGAACTGATGCTGAAGCTGAAGCTCCAATAATTTGACCACCTGATGTGAAGAAGAAATGCATTGGAAAAGATTCTGATTCTGAGAAAGATTAAAGGTAGGAGGTGAAGAGGGTGACAGAGAATGAGATGGTTGGATGGCATCACTAAGTCAATGGACATGAATTTGAACAAACTCCAGGAGACAGTGAAGGACAGGGAAGCCTGGCATGCTGCAGTCCATGCGGTTGCCAAAAGCCAGCCGTGAGTTAGCAACTGAACACCACCACCAATCAGAAGCCACAAATAAAAAGCAGCCAATTAAAAATAGTTCAATTTTTCCCCCATACAAATCATGGAATCAAAGTAAAACTAAAGTTCATTCTGTCAAGATAAAGTGTTTGACACTTTATATAAGGTTAAAGACCTTAAACGTTTAGTTCAAAAGTTCTACTTTGAGATAAAATTATTTGCTTTATTCAGTAGTAAAATGAACACAAATTTTGATGGACAACTTTGTAAAAACATAGTAAAAACAATGCTCCACTAAATTAGGAAATATACTTTGAAGAAATGTGCTTATTGTATTGGTTGTGGTACATAGAAATTTTATAACTGCATCCCAAAAGAGCTGTGATGGTCTAACAATTGAAGTAGAAGCTATAGTCGTTAAATTTTATAAATATTTTGTATAGTGCAATTAGAGTTACTGAACTGTACACTTATTTTTTTTTTTTACAAATTTGATGTTGAAATAAAAAATAATTCAGATGCTCTGTGGAAGTACACTCTGTCTCTTTGCTATACATGATCAAATATTAGAAGTGCTTGAGCCCTTAAGGAAGCTCTCTGTAAATCAATCTAAGTGCAATACAATACATTAAACTCACTTTTAAGTACTGAAATAATCCAAGTTCAAAAGGTGGAAGATTTGATTTTAAAATTAGATAATAGATCTTTGGGGCATCTTGAATGTCCTTTGATTATGTTCCCACCTTTGTTCAGAGATAAACTGTCCTCGCTAACAAAATAGAATAAAATTTTAAAAACTTTACATTTGGCAAAATATTTAAAAGACTCCTTTAGAGAGAGAGTTTGACAAATTTAGTTTAGTAAAGCATGTAATGAATAAATACATTCTGAATGGGCTTTCCAGGTGGCGTAGGTGGTAAAGAATCTGCCTGCCAATGCAGGAGACACAAGAAATGAAGGTTTGATCCCTGGGACAGGAAGATCCCCTGGAGAAGGAAATGGCAACCCACTCCAGTATTCTTGCCTGGAAAATTCTATGGACAGAGGAGCCTGGCAGACTACAGTCCATGGAGTCACAGAGAGTCAGACTGAGCGACTGAGCACACACAATATACTCTGAATGGAGGCACAAAGAAGGCACCTGTGAAAATATCTTGGCTGAAGTATTACTATGTCTCAATATAGTGCAATTAAAATGAAAAATACTCTCAATTTAGCATTATTTTTATCTGACCAGGTATCTCAGTAACTGTTGAGAGTTTTCATAATTAAAAATAGTCTGGTTAAAATAGAAGAAATCACCTGAAGGTATCAACAACTTCTAATTTATTAATGGTAATAAATCTTCAAAGGCAACAGAAGTGTTGAACCAATTAGGGTAAGGAAGTGTCAAGATTCCAGAGAAGGACAAGAAGCTGAAAATAGTGCCTCTGCCCAGAGAGAGGACTGCTGCTGAGAACAAAGAAATCAGCAGCGCCTTTGTTGATCTCAAGGAGCCCGGGCAGTAATTCTCAACCAAGGGTAGTTTTGCTTCCAGGGGACATTTGACGATGTTTGGGAACACTTCTGATTGTCGTGATGTTTTGCCATTTGCTATTGGCAAATGATTTGCTATTGACATCTAGTGCATAGAGGCCAGAATGCAGCCAAACACCCTACAATGCACAGAACAGCCCTCCAAACCCAGCAAAAATCTATCTGGCCCAAGATGTCAATAGTGCCTTGGTTGTAAAACCCTGGACTACAGAAATTGGAGGCTTAGAATCTAACACACACACACACCACAGAGTGTATGTAACTCCTATTCCTGGTTTGGTTCAGACATTTTCTAGGAATCATTTTGTTAGATTCTTTCCATCTCAGCTATGGAATTTTTCCTGCACCTATTAAATTCAACACAAGAAGTGTTCTGAATCATCTTCACTCCCTCAGGTCCCAATCCCACCATGGCCACATTCATCCTCAGAAAAGCACCTCACCAATTACCTTAATGATCTGGTTAAGGTCATCCTACAAATGCTGTGTCTACTTCCTTTCTGCACATTTTTTCCCCTTATGATATCACTCATTCTTTTCCACCTTTAAGAAAATGTTTCCTCTTTATCAAGGAAATGCCTTATCAGTTCTCCTTTCCCCCATACCCTCTCCTCAAAAATCACTTTTTCATTTTTTTTTAAACTATCCAATGGGAATTTTATTTATAAAAAATAAAGCAAATCCTAAACTCCTGGGGACAGAACCCATGGCTTATATTTCTCTATTGCACAGCACTTACCTTGCTCAGTGCCTGGTACAAATAAGAGCTCTGTAAGTTCATTTGTAGGATGAATGAATTTATTTATTCACTCATTACTTTTCTTCTTTTCCTTGCATTTTATTTGCTCTTTTATTTGTTCTTGGGACTCAGTAATACTTTTCATATCATTTTCAATAACAGAGCTGAATAAATGCATACTGACCTGACTTGAAAAGAAAAATGGAAACAGAAAATCTTTTAGTAACTTGGACCCCGAATCTCCCAGTGAGTCACAAATTAATCCAGTGAAATGTTCTGCGTGTTTTTGGGTGAGGGAATTCTATCCTGGACAGGTCATATTCTCTCACTAACCTCGGGTCTGCTTGAAGGAAGATTCTTCTAATCCAACATCCTGCAATTTTAATTTAATTATAAGACAACAGGTTGTGCAAGTTAAGTTGGACTTTAATATGACTTAGCAGAAAGTCTCTGCTTTGATAACCAGATGCCATCTAGAGTATTAAAAATGCCTGCACCAGGCCTATCAGAGACAGAGCCAAACAAGCTGGGATGACTTATTTAAGGTGATGTCAGGAGTGATATCATTCTGTGTCATTTGGGGTTAAACTTTAATTTCACACTTTTAAAATATAAAACAACATTTGCTATTTGCATGTCAAGTAGACAGTCTAGCTGTCTTTACTCCTTTTTTTATTTCTTGAAATGCAGCTTATTTTTAGGTCTTCCAACTCATCTTTCTTGTCTTTTACAGCTGTCTGATGTCCCCACACAGATCCCAACTCTTTCCTACCTCTGCTCTCCTATCCTGCCACACTTTGCTCTATGGAACTTCAAGAAGCAAATGCAAAGCACCCAAGAACATTTGGCTATACATCCATCCCCCCATCCATCCATCCATCCATCCATCCATCCATCCACCCATCCATCCATCCACCCATCTACCCACCCACCCATCTCCATCTATCCATCCATCTATTCACCTGTTCATCCATCCAGTCAGCCAGCCAGCCACCCACCTGCCCATCCATCCATCCATCCACCTGTCCATCCATCCATCCATCCATCCACCTGTCCACCTATCTATCCATCCATTCATCCACCCATCCCTATCCATCCATCTATCGACCCATCCCCATCCACCTGTCCATCCATCTATCCATCCATCCACCTGTCCATCCATCTATCCAGCCAGCCAGCCACCCATCCACCCATCCATCCATCCACCCACCTGTCCATCCATCTATCCAGCCAGCCAGCCAGCCAGCCATCCACCCATCCATCCCCATCCCTCCATCCACCCACCCATCTACCTGTCCATTCATCCATCCACCCATCCATCCACTCAACAAATGTCCATTAATCATCTTCTATGTATAAGCCATTTTGCTTGTTTTGTGAGGACAGATCAAAGGAAATCAAGTTATTGTTTCTATTCTTCAAGGGACATTTAAACCTGAAGGGAAGATTGAAGCAGAAGGGGGAACAGGAGAAAGATAGAGATAATACAGATAAATATAAGACACATAGCCTACCAGGTCATCAGTTCAGTTAAGTAGCTCAGTCATGTCCGACTCTTTCTGACCCCATGCACTGCATCACACCAGGCCTCCCTGTCCATCAACAACTACAAGAGTTTATTCAAACTCATGTCCATTGAGTCAGTGATGCCATCCAACCATCTCATCCTCTGTCGTCCCCTTCTCCTCCTGCCTTCAATCTTTCCCAGCATCAGGGTCTTTTCCAATGACTCAGTTCTTCTCATCTGGTGGCCAAAGTATTGGAGTTTCAGCTTCAGCCTCAGTCCTCCCAGTGAATATTCAGGACTGATTTCCTTTAGGATGGACTGGTTGGATCTCCTTGCAGTCCAAGGGACTCAAGAGTCTTCTCCAACACCACAGTTCAAAAGCATCAATTCTTCAGCGGTCAGCTTTCTTTATAGTCCAACTCTCACATCCATACATGACCACTGGAAAAACCATAGCTTTGGCTCGACGGACCTTTGTTGGAAAAGTAATGTCTCTGCTCTTTTAAAATAAATAATTAATTGATTAATTTTAATTGGAGGCTAATTACTTTACAATATTGTAGTGGTTTTTGCCATACATTGATTTGAATCAGCCATAGGTGCACATGTGTCCCCCATCCTGAGCTCTCCTCCCACCTCCCTCCCCACCCCAGCCCTCAGGATCATCCTAGTGCATTGGCTTTCAGTGCTCTATTTCCTGCATCGAACTTGGACTGCGATCTATTTCACATACGGTAATATACGTGTTTCAGTGCTATTCTCTCTTTTAGGTTAGTCTCTTCATTTCTTCCCTTTGTAGCCGGTCATTGAAAGAGCAGTCGACATGACTGTGTCCATTTTATTAAAGTCTAGAATCCATTTCAGTGACTTTCTGCAAATGCCTTCTTAGCCAAATCTCAATTGTAAAGCCAATGGTCTTCCGTTAGCTATGGTACTTAGCATTAAAAATTTTCTGCGTCCTCCTCTGACACTAACCTGAATCTCCTTCTATCACCATTTCTTTGGCCGCTTCACTATCTCACCCACATATATCCCACACGCGCAGTATGGCAGTTACCACACTGTGCCTCTCAGCTTCAAATCCAGCTTTCTGCCTTCCGCTGCTCCAGGACGCCCCAGCGGTGACTCAGAGTGCATTTCCGCTTTGCCAGCAGCGCCTTCTTAGGTCTGCCAATAGGGGGCGCTAGAGGGAGGCTGCAAGGCCAGAGGAGAGAGCAGGCACCAGTTCCTACAGCCGACCTTGATTCTCCTCTAAGGATGTTCAGACGCTTTGCAGTACCCGTCTTCTAATACCCGCACCGGCCGAGCCGCCGCCCGCCTCAGATGGCTGGCTGGGGCTCACGAGGTCCCACTTTCAAACTTCTATGTTTTGATAAATTCCAACTCTTTCTGTTTCTCCAGACCTATGAAGGGTATTGGGAAGAGCTAGTTTTTTGAAGTTGCCACCTCCATTATGCCTCCGTGTTCTTATCTGCCGTTCAACTGTTTAATAATAGCGCCAGTAGCAATACATAGAACAGTCATTATTATGGCGGCCATCATCTTCTTTACTGAACAGGAGAGTAGTGTAACTTTCTTTTATCTTAGAACGTTTGAGTTTACTTTTCCCTTAACTGACATGAAGGGTATATGGGATTTCGGTGTTCATTTAGTTTACTGACTTTAATCACGAGGAAAGATTTGGCAACTAGAGCTTAAGTCGCAGCCAAATTCACCCTTCCACCATGCCTCCAAATAAGGCCTCTATTCCATCCCATTGTTAGGGGATGCCAGTGGTTTATGGTGGGGGCGGAGAAGGGAGCTAAAACTCTAAGAAGTTTGAAAGGTTGAATGAAGGACGGGGTTTCAGTCACTTATACATAAACCTTGATACATAAACCAGCCCCTTTGGGCTAAACAAAGGACATCCATAACCTTTGCCTCATTATACAGTAGGCATTATGCATTACTAAAATTGAAGATTTGAGGCTTCTTTTTATATCATCCCAAGACTCCCAGAAACCATGATTATTCAAAGAAAGCTTCTAGGTGCGGTAACATCATAGGGGAGTGTAATCTATCCTGGGTTTCAATGCCACTGAGAAGGGAGTCAAGACTGGAGGGTGCTGAAACAGGTACCCTAACTCTGATGCTGACTTACACCTTTCATTTTGTATCTTCAGGCCTATATAGGGAAGGAGGCCTTTACAGAGGCATCTTGGGGCCTAGAAACAGGAAAGCCAGGAACACAGAAAATCTGCTCAGGAAACAGAAGAGCAGATAGGAATCCTCTGTGTTCCTGAGTCTTCTAGCTACAGGGGGAGACTGTGAAGGGACAATATGGACTAAAATATTATAAAGGTGGTAGAAGGGGTTATGTGGGAAATTTTTGTACCTTCTCAGTATTGCTGTGAACTTAAAATTACTTTAAAAAAAATAGTCTTTCCACAAATGGTATGTTTTTTAGATTTTGCAATTTTCTTAGTCTGATAATATTTTTTTAAATCAAGATTCTATCCTACAATGTATAATGATAAAATCCTGAAATGAGAAGTGGCTACTATGCTTATTTTCAGGGAAGTAAGGAAGTGGATGCTGGAGAGACTATATATGTATCCTTCTCGTTATGTAGCTACAATTACCAAGGCTAGTAAGCGCCAGAGAAGATGCTAACACTGTTAAAAAGGCTGGTGAAGGAGGCAGCAATCCACGGGGCTGTGCAGCAGGGAAGAAATGAAAGAAAGAAAATCCAGCCTGCCCCTGAGGATTCAATGGTCAGGAAGCCCTGTGATTTTCAGCTATGCAGAGGTACGAATTCTAAGGAAAGCAAGAGAAATGTAAGCTAAACAAAAGATCACCA